TCTTCAAGCAACTTAAAGAAGTCCAGACGCTTTTCTTTGCAAGCTCCTTTGACTACGATGACCTGGATGACTGAGAACCTTCACAGACATAAATGCTATATAGACAAGACACACAGAGGCCATAGCCAAACATAACCTAAGAAGCAGGACTTGGAAGGCAAAAGACAAACAGAGAGTGGTGGAGGACATAACAAATGACATCAGGATAAATAAAAACAATACAACCTATATTACAAACGAAACGAAGCTTAAACACAACTGATCCTTATAAACAAAAGGAATGACAACCCACTTAAAAAAAACTATACAATGAAAATACAAATAAACAGCATGGACAGACGGCAGGGGTACACACACGCTCACAAAAACAATACACTTTTATATGTGTTTGTTACTTACTGCTGACAAAGGCCTGCGAAGTCAACATGCCAGAGTTCTGTCAGTCCATCCTTAACAAGGCGACACTTGAAAGTGAGCTGGAGGCTCAGGTCATCCCTGCCTCAAACTTAAATACGAGCCACGGCTGATTTTGCTTTTCCAGAGTCCCACCTCACGTCCAAGTTTTTCACTTGGCAATCAGGACCTGTTTTACTGAGCATTTCTTGTTATGTTTCATCTGTCAGGTGTAGGTTATACGTTTACAGCTAAACATATTGGAGTTGGAGTTATTCTGCTCATATCCAGGTCTGCATTTTTATTAGTCGAATCTACTAGAGTAGCTTTGCATGGATAAGAGCTCAAGATCAACTTTTTTCTTATACTGGGCCTTGATGCAGCTGCTCAGTCCATCACCTAGCTGGGCTGACATGTTTTAGCTCCTCCCCTCTTTAAAGCAATATTCTTCTCATTGGTTGCCCATTATAAACAGAGGGTTAAATAACTAGTTGGGGGGGCTTCTGTGCCTGTGGCATTGTGGATATCACTGATACTGTTTCTCTGTGACATCATTAAGATCCCAGAGAAGACAAAAGACTGAGACAATGAGACCTTTTGACTTTTGACAGCTGCACATCCGATGTACAGAAGCTCTCCACTTTCACTGTGACGCACATACAAACAGTTTTGAGCACATCGATGATTTATTTAGCTGGTTTGTTCGTCCAGTCACAACATCCTAACGCAGGTTTTCTCTTTCTGTCAGAGCAAACGTGTTTCTGTTCTGTCAGCAGTTTATTTTGAAACTGGAATCAACTGATTTTCATTTGTTCTTGTGTCCAGCAGGAGGCCCCAGAACTGATCTTAGTGTCTAGGTTTTGACTACCACATGGTTTTGCTAAAACAAGAAGTCTTTATTGTTACATTTTGGATCATTTAGAAAGGAGAAACATGTGACCTCCATTCCCACCTTAAAATATTGTCTCAGATTTCATCATATATACAGTATATGGAAAAAAAAAACACATCTTGATTGCTTAGGTTAGAATCCACTGTGGTGGTATACTGAAGCAAAACTACACAGATGTCCAAATACTTATACTTACTTAGGATGCCCTCTGGACCCAGTGGAGGTGGTGAGTGACAGGAGAATGGCGGCTAAGCTGTCATCCCTGTTGGACAACATCTCCCACCCCATGCAGGAGACTCTGACAGC